TGGTGTGGGTAGCTGGCCAACATATTTCATCTTATTTGGAAGAGCAGCCCCTCATTTGGAAGAGGCTCCTCTTTTTTTTTCCATGAGACTAAATTTAAAAAGCAGCAGCTGTTTGCAGCTTTTCTGGAGTTTAGAATGTCAAAATAAACCTTAACAAAAACACAGAGGTGATTAAGTATCTGGGGGGAGAAAAAAAAAAAAGCAACATTTATCATACAGCTCAACACTTCAGCATGATCATCTCAAATTTGGGGCACCATTCACCCTCTCTCCTCCAGCCTAAGACTGGATACAGAACAACCAGGCTGGAACTTACTTATTTTTAAAATGAAGAGATGCAAAAATAAGTAAGTAAAATGGAAGCTCAGCCACAGTTCATTACCAGGACAAGACTGTGGTTATATAACAAAACATGCAAACTATTTTGCTTTTTCAAAACTTCACTTTCCTCCTAAGCTCTTTGTTTCTTAGGCTAAAAACAAAAGAGATGCTGAGTCTCTGCAGCCTGGAGAACCTTAAGCTCCTCTTCTTTGTAGCAACCTTTTCCATACTTTTAAGCAATGATCCTGACTCACCTCAATTATTCCTTCTCTACATTAAACAAACCCCTATCTTTTGATCTTTCCTCCCTATTCATGCCAGGACAGCTTTTATGCAAAGGTGCAAACCACTGTATACATTAAATATGTGTTGCAAGCTCTAGGCTTTCCAGGCTATTACCTTGTGCGGGTAATACCTGGCACAGATTCCAACAGAGCAGCTCCTTTTAGCTGTTCCCGTAAGTCTCCATATGACATGAAATGTGCTTGATCTCATCTGATCTGCTTCTACCACAGAACAGATTAAAGGAAAAGAACAAAACAACACAGGCAAGGGCTCTCAGGAAAAAGAATATGTTAGAGATGTAGAGTCCCTTTGTTTCATAACATACCCTCCAAAATAGTTAAATGTTGATTGCTGAGGCTTCATTAAAACAAGCCTCACAGGACATTGTCACCACAGCCTGTCTTCCCAGAACTAAGGAGCCCAGGATCCATCAAAAGCAGCATCACTTCACGCTTTGATTTGACATCCAACGCTTCTGCCCCACCTTCCCAGGTAGCCACAGAAAACAGGATCTCACTGCAAAGAGCTTCAACACACCAGGCACAAGCCCCCCCTTTCCCAGGGCAGCAGCTTCCTCACCACCTCCAGGCTGATGCTGGGATAAGAGAGGATTGACACTTGGAAACCAGCCTGTGACTGAGCAAGGGCGAGGGAATCAGCACAGGAAAGTTTAATATTAAAGAGGCACGGAAGCCTGTGAAGTCTGGGGAGCCACATGAAAGCTGCTGCCTGCCCGGGCACGCAGGTGATCAGGGAAAGGATGGGAGGTACAGCACCATCGTTACACATCATCTTGTGACTGGTATGGATGCTGCCAGGAGCTGCACTGATTGCTCTCTCAAGGCAAGTTGCAGAGCGCCCAGAGCAGCAAAGGGAAAGCAAGTGAATCAGCAAGGGGCATGTTGGTCCCCAAGCACTCACCATGGGGCGGAATTATGTCAGCATAAAACTGGTGAAAGCAGAGATGTTCCTTTGTTTATAAACACATCAGAGACAACCAGACTTCTGTGGAAAGTAATTTTATTTTGGAATTTCACACACTCTTGTCACAGACCATGCACTTAAGACTTTCCCCTATACAAATCCACATATTCTCCAGACCTGGGAGAGATGGGGCATCATCTCTTCACTTCTCACTGTGAGTATCCACATTAAGAGAGAGGGCCCTGATGGCAGCTCACCAGGAGACAGAAAACAGCCTCTTGTTTCCATAATTGCTTTTAAAGACTGGAAAAGACATCCATCTGACTTGAAGGATTTGCAGTGGAGCTCAGCAGTAGTGAAATCCCATTGCTGAGCAAGCTGGTCCTCACCCCATTGGTTACAGGGAAGCAGACAACAATCTCCTGGGAAGCTCACAGGAGTGAAGCTATAGCAGAACACACTGAGGAATTCTTGGAGCCCAGGCAGCAAGCAACCAAACACACACTCTGGGTCCCTTACAATCAATTTGTCTCTTGAGCTGCTCGGCCAGGAAGGTGGCCAGGAGCTGCCCTTTTCACATTCAGCTTTAGGTCCTCCTGCTCTGTGCTAGTTTTGACAAGGAAGGAGCCAACTTTTGACAAGTAAGGCAGCCCTCTGGGCTGTACATTTAAACACATTTAATACTTAAAGGTGCCAGTTCTAAAGACCCTGCAACAGTCTGTTTAACCCATAGGCTGGGTATGGCATTAGCATAAATTTCCTGCATACTTATCCTGCTCCTTCTTCCCTGCCTCTGATGCCTGATGCTGCTCTCAAAATACTCCTAGTCACAGTGTTCCTGTGAGCTATTACATCTTTGGCCTTTGGTGAGACTGCCACTGGCAGGGCAGCTACTGCCCACCGTGGTGGCTGCCTGTGGAAGTGAGCATCTGCCTCCTGAGAACAGGCTTCTGGCTAGCTCAGAGGAGGGAAGAAAGTGTAAAGAAACGATGGAGGTGATTCAAGTGAAGTGGAGCAAAATCTACAGAAAGGCAAAAAGGCAGCTTCAGTCTCCATTTGATGCATAAATTGAGCTCAATAGCAGCAAGAAATGGCCATAAAATATTAATTAATTAGGTTGCCAGGATGAAGTAAAAGCCTTTATATAAAAAATTCTATACACTGATAAGTATGTGGCAACTGTCCTCCAGGCAGCTCAGACAGCAGCTTCTTCCTGCTCATGTTATCACCTTTTTTGTATCTGTCGTTGCTGCTCAATTCTGTGTGAAGACGGTGCTATTGGAGTCAGCACCAAGTGAGGGGTGAGATCACACGGAAGAAACAAACTTACAAGGAACTCCTGACAATCCCAATATTTTAATATTTTTGCTGACCTTCAAGTAATTAGAAGAAAGGGGAATTTCCCCCAATAGCCTACAGGCTCCAAGTCTCATCTATCTGCTTCTAGGGTATGAAGGCTGACATCAGAATGGCAGTGGAGGGCAGGGAAAGAAAGAAGGGAAAAAATCCAGGAGCCAGAGTGAATAGCAATCAACAGCAGACCAATACTGACTGCTGCACAAAACACAAAATCATACAAATGACATTTCTGCTAACCTTTCATAGACTACAGATTTTATATATACACACAAACTTCAAAGTATGCATCTGGCAGTCTAGAAAATACCAGGTGCCCTAAGGATTAAATAATTTAAAATGCAACATTGTGTTATCACTGTATACAGAATACTATCTGACACATTGGCTAAAAAGGACAGATTGCCCGAGAAAGATGCTCCCACCCTCATCTCACCAGCACTGCCTCTAAAAAGAAAACAAGGGCTAAAGACTCCCCCTGTGGTTCTACTCCTGAAATTCACCTTGAAACTTATCTGACAAAGGTGGGGGAAAGTCTTGAGAGGAAGGAATCCTGCTCCCTCCAAACTCTTGCTGCTGCAGTGCCCATCTCCATTGGCTAGGGAAGCTGGACAGCAAGGGGGAAAAACGATTACTAAAGCTGGGGAAAGGCAAGGACATTTCTGTAACGGCAGCTGTGCTGGTCTTTTGAGAGAGAGACAGCCCCAGATTTGGGGGGACACTCTCCCTCCCCCTTTTTGAAGACAGGAGACCAGAATACTGAATGCAGAGTATACAGAGTCCACGTGGCTAGTGTAGGAGATATCAACAGTACAGCAGCTGCCCCCTGAAAGCCATACTGCAGTCCAGCAGCAGTAGATGGGAGGGCAGCTGAAGGAGAACAGGATGGCAGCTGTAAACACAAGTGGGCAGAACTGCATTGCCAATAGGTCCAAAGAGACAGAACGGGGAAGATGTGCCCTCACCAGCTTTCTAAGAGTAACTGGGAAGCACTGGGAAGTCAACACATGGGAATGAGGAAGAGGATGGACAGACGCAGTTCTGAGGTGGCTGAGAAGGGGACTAAAAACATACTGAGAGCAGACAGCAAAGTCAACTTATCTCTAAATGCCAGCTCTGTAAGTCTACCCTAGTATCAGCATATGGGACAGAACCTTGCTGATGACAACAGTTCAGTCCCCTCACCTTCAAAGACTTACAGCTGGTGAGAATCTGGCTTACGTGTGCTTATTATAAAGCCCTTTGAGGCATGCAGTCTTGCTTCCACCTCCTATAAACCAGAACAGCCATAAGCTCTGGGGGACAAGATGAAAAAAAATAATCCATGTTCCCATATGTGTCTCCCACCCCTCCCCCATAATCAGTCTCTCTTCCTCTAGGCCACAGACAGACATCTAAGGAGCTGCTCTGCTCTGCATTCCCAGGGCCATTCCCACAAGCAACACGGAAGTGGATCTGGCTAGGCAGGAATGGCAAGCGCAGCTCCTTTGGCCTCATCACACAGCCAGACCACAAAGGCTTCCTCCTCTCCTGCGACAGCTTCAGTGAGAATTGTCCACACTGGAGGTTGTATCACAGCAGACTGGACACGCCTCTGCCCTTATCCCTGAACCCAGCTTGCAAGGGATGAGAAGGCTCCATAGAAGCAGGAGTAGCTGGCATTCTTCTCTTCCAAGGTCTACATCCCTAAATACTGCCAGTGTAATAATTACCCACTCGAGGATTAGAAAAAACCCAGCCCTATCCAAAACATCTTGCTCAGTCTGCCCTGCACAACTGGATCAAAGGGACCCAAAAGAAGAAGAAAAAATAACAAGAGTGTAGCAAAGCAGAGAAAAAGAAACATGGGGTAAAATCAGACTGAAGGAAAGGACAGGACCTCAACGCAATTCTGCTAAAATTGTCCTTGGATTTACCAGCCCAGTTCCACCTTCTTCAGACCAAAATGGACTTGCTGCAATTAAGTGTACTAAAGGCAAAAGAAGTGCATAGTCTGTCTGGGTTTTTTTTTTGGTAGACACTTAAACGTCAGCAGAATTTAAGCAAAAATCTTCACGCTGCAGTTTTAGCCTCTTTTCCCTAGCCAACGGGTACCTGTTGGGGCAGAGATGGTGGAAATGGACCAGTAGCACCAAGAAATCCAGTGGGAGCACCAACTCCACAGAAGGAAGAAATAATGAACTAAAAGGAGACAGAGAGAGAGAGAAGTGGAGGAGACACATTTTGCAGTCCACCTTGGCTAACCCCTATCAATACTTCCCCCAGTAAGGCCCCATTACGTCTGCAGCAAGACCTCTGGCTCTGAGAGAGAGCTGTAGAGGGTGTATCCCAACTCATCCACTTCCTCAGGGGTGAGCTCTGAAAATAAGTTCACCTTGGGGTTCAGAGCACTTGGGAGGACACCTGCTTCCAAGTAGCGGATCAACCCCTTCAGTGCCTGCAAGAAGCGATCAGCCAGCATGTCCTGGGACCAGTCAGACTCTTCTTGGGATAGGTGCAGGATGACATTGGTGAGCTGGCTGGCAGTGAGGTGGCCCAGGGCTGGGTTCAACTTGCATATCGCTTTGAAGATCTTCAGGCACAAGCAACGGCAGCCAGAATCACCCTGGTCCAGAGCTCGGAGGCGAGCCGTTTCTGCTGGCCGCAGGCTCAGTCGCCACAGATTGTCATTATGGACCAATCGATGGGGTCTGGCCACAAGGATGATGTCACCCAGGGTCAGGGATGGCAGGAAGTCAATAAAAAGATGCCGTCCTGGATCATACTGGACTTCCAGTGTCAAATCTGCTGGAGGAGCTGCTGGACGGATCACATAATCCAAGAGAGAACCAATTGCTGGCCAGTTGATGGAGCCAGCTACAACTTTCTCAAAGGTGTCTGCTACAGCTTTGGGGGAAAGGTAACCTCCCACCACACAGCGGTCCCAGTAGCTGCTCCCACGGGGAAAGTACTCAGGGTTTTCCCGACGCACCAAGTAGAAGCCAGGAATGTTCATGATGGTGTCCTCCCCAGGGATGCATGACCACAGGTTCTGCTCCAGCATCAGAGGCACAATGAGCTGGATGTGGTCAGCTGTCACCACCTTTCACAAGAGAGAAAAGTCAGTAAGAACAAGCTTTCCCTTTCCATACTCAGTTTTATTCACCACCTTTAGATAGCCTTCTGTTCAAAGGAACTTCAAATAAGGACTCAGCTGCCGCACTCTCCTCTCTGCATGGGATTCGCAGCCTCCCTTTGTCAAAAGACATTCTGAAGGACTATTTCCCATTGCCAGTGGAATAACTCCAAGCCATAACCCAAGCTAGTGCTTATACTGTATGTACTATTTCGAGATATTTCAATACTTCCAAGACCTGACAGGGACTGCATATAGCCAAATCATTTTGCCTTCTGTTGTTCTAAGTCAAAGAATCATAGGATAGTTTGGGTTGGAAAGGGCCTTTAAAGGTCATCTAGTTTAGCCCCCCCCTGCAGTGAGCAGGGGCATCTTCAACTAGATCAGGCTGCTCACAGACATGGCCTAACCTGGCCTTGAATGTTCTACCACCTCTCTGAGCAACCTGTTCCACTGTATCAGCCCTCTCATTGAAAAAATGTCTTCCTAGTATCCAGTCTAAATCTACCCTTTCAGTCTAAAACCATTACCCCTTGTACAATCACTACAGGCCCTGCTAAAAAGCTTGTTCCCATCTTTCTTATAGGCTAAGTTTTGAAAGGCTACAATAAGGTCTCCCTGGAGCCTTCTCTTCTCCAGGCTGAACAACCCCGATTCTCTCAGCCTGTTCTCTTAGCAGAGGTGCTCCAACCCTCTGATCATCTTTGTGGCCCTTCTCTGGACCTACTCCAGCAGGTTCTTGTGGTGCAGCTTCAGAACTGGACACAGTACTCCAGGTGGGATCTCACCAGGGCAGAGTAGAGGAGGAGAATCACCTCCCTTGACCTGCTGGCCATGCTTCTTGTGATGAGGGCCAGCATACTGTTGGCTTTCTGGGCTGCAAAAGCAGCCTTATTCCACTCTTTGGATTTGAGATGCAACTGACCCAGGGCACAGCAACAATACGATAATTTAAAACAGGAGGCAGAGTATTATGTTTCTAAGCAAGCTGAAGTTGCCATGGTTTTGTTATCCCATGCTACAACTAGGTACTGCCCTCACCCAGTCTGTCACATTGTTAGGAAAAGGTCATTAAAGATCCCTTTTCACCAGTGTGCTTAAGACCACAGCTCTTAAGTTTCACTGGACACTTGACACTCCATTCCAGAGCTCTGACTCAAACAAAAAAGTGTGCCTCTGAATCACTCACTATAGCCACGGGCATCTTGCCATCAGGGAGACATGCAGCAGGGACTGCTGTCCAATCCAGGTCTGCCATGCATTAAAAAAAAAAAAAAAAAAAAAAGAGTAGGGAAGACCTACATGAATACATAGGAGTTCTAAGGGAGTATCACGTCTTTGGGAAGAGACAGAAGGGAGAGAGAGAAAACAGAGGTCTACTGGAGAAACAGCAAGAAAACACACAGCTAAGGAGGAAGACAGAGGGGAAGGAAAAAAGGGTTGGGATAATCTGGAGAAATAAAACAGCAAAAAGCAAACTCGTCACAGACAAAGCTAGAGCAGCCTAGTCATGCCCATTCAAACCGTACTGCAGGAACCAACGCCCGGCTCCACGGTGGGAATGCTGAGCCAGCACTGCCAAGAGGGAAGCCTGACATGCCCCTGCCTAGTCAGCCTTCTGAGTAACGACCCATCACGCGGCCCCAGAATTACCTGCAGATCATCGTAGAGGCTGCCGCTCAGGTACATGTCCCGCAGGGGCATGTCGGGCAGCTTGGCTCGCAGGAAGCTGCGCAGCTCCGCGCAGATGTCCACGGCAGCTTGCTTGGCCCGAGCCTGCTCCTCCCCTGGGATGGCCACCTTCCTCCGGTAGTAAGCAAAGAGCTTCTCTTGCAGAGACAGGCGAAGGCGGGACTTTTTCAGCTCCACTTGGCTCCTCTTGGCAGATGGCTTGGGCTTCGTGGCTCGGAAAAAGTCTGCAAGACACCAGAAGAGCTGTTGATCGTCTGGGGCGTTTTACTGAGAGCTGCTCAAAAAGCTTTCAGCAGATGTTCTGCATGCTGGACACAGGTACCAGGCAAAAGGGAGCTGCTGAGAAACTTCAAAATATGGCACTACGAGCATCAAACTGGAGGAAAACAAGTCACTAGATTTGGAATTTATCAAGAACAAGGCTAACATTGTGCACAAGGAAGTAATTTTAATGGCTGCGTGGCCAGTACCTCAGTTCTTCAAACATCCAGCACTGTTATCTGTTCAGAAGCTTTTCAACATGATGCCAAACCAGTGGATCAAACGCTGCTGAACAACCGTCATGATCTCATTAAGTTTTTTAACATTATTATGGATTTTTTACAAATTATCAGCAAAACCCAGAACTGGCTAGGGTGTGAGATCCGGGAAGAATGTGCCACTTGGAAATGGAACAGTTGTCAGGAGTCTGATCAACACCAATCAGGATGGTGAGATGACACATCTTGGGGCCAGCAGAGCTCAGGCAGTCATAGCCCCAGTGAAAACTTCCCTTGAACTTTCACTGGCCACAGAGCAGAGAGCACAGCCTTGGGCACAACAGAACAGTACAACACTTCATGCTGCCATCTGTGTTATTAAACAACATCTAACCCACATAAAGTCTCTAAGCCCCTTTTTTTCTGACTGGTTTCCTAAAGAAATAGGTCAACGCTTCCCATCCATCTTTGGACTTTTCTTAATAACTACCAAGAGTTTCAGAAGTTATCGATTGAAGGAAGAATTACAGACCTAAGAGACCTCTGGAAGAGCTGTGGTACAGGTGCATGAGAAACCCCCGAGTCAGTGGGCCCATTAAGGCAAGCAGCTGTTGCACATTTCTTTGGCAAGAGGCGTTTGGCAACACAGAATGACTGACCAAGCTGCGTGCAGACCGACCCTTGCCCAGCCTCAGCAGCTGCTGTCTCTTGTCCCACTGGGGTTTTTTGGACAGATTCCAGGGTTTATGTGAAAAGGCAAAACCCTGCAAACCACAAGGAACTAGACTTCATTGCCTGTTCATGAAAAAACTTATTTTTCTCTCTGAACTTTCTACGTCAAGAATGCAAGATGCCATCATCCAAGGTTTTATTCCTCAATCCTCATCTTTCGGGTGTCCAGCCAAATGATCTAGACCGCATTTAACACAGCTGTCTAGTTATTTAACATCTCCTCAGAAGAAAATCCATTGCCATCCTGAAGCTGACTTTTTTTGCAGAAAATCCGGAAATCAATTTAAAGCTTGATTGTTACTTCTCAGATTCAAAGCAACTCAATCTAAGAAGGTCCCTGATTTTTATTTTAAATCACCAAGTATAAAACTCCTGACATGACTAGAGATGGAAAGTAAAACCAATGAGAAAATCCAACCAACCACAAACAACAAACACCAACTGACTCTACATCAATTATCATCTCCTCTCAAAAAGACTGTAGGTGACTTTCAGTGATGTGATAAAGACTTGACTTAGCATTAAGCAGTACTAAACAAGCCAACAGTGTTCCAGAAATTATTAGAAAAAGGGTAGAAAAAAATAACATAGGAATTACTATTTTAAATTGCTAGGACATTCAACATTTGAATATTCTCCTCTAAAAAGACAAACTGGAATGGTCCAAAAAAAAGTAACAAAGAGCTTGAAAGGAATGGAGTAGCTTTTTATCAGGAAGGATTTCACAGGTAAGTATTGAGCTTGAAAGATAAAAGACTGAGGGAGAATAAACCTTAAAACCATGAGGTCATGAGAGGAATGAAGAATGCAAACAGATGACTATTCACTAGTTCCCAATCTGACTTCTAACTCTTGAAGTTATCAGTAGACCTGCTTAAAAGAAAAACACAAAAATGCTGGGCTAGACAGAACATTCTCTTTTCTCCCCTTCCACTAAATGAATCCAGGGTTTGTGACCCTGGGTGATTTTGCAATGCAGGGGAATCCCCCTGCTCCTTACCTGTGTCTGCAGCCGAAGGATCGGTGGGAAGGGTCTGCAGGGAGCGGCTGAGGTTGGTCTTCATGTCCTGGCTCAGCAGGCGTGAGGAGGAGCCCAGCCAGTTTGGTTCTTCCCAGCTTCTCTTTCCCGACTGGCTCAAGCGAGTGGGGCTGCTGGGAGCACTGATTGCCCGGTCATACATCTAAAGCAACATCACCAGCCTGAGTCGCTAAAGGTCCAACGTCTGCATTCTACCCAGAGCCTAGTGCCAGCATCCCCGGCCTTTTCCCTTCCCACCCCTCCTCTCCAGTGCCCCGTGCCCTGCAGGGTGGCTCACCCGCTTGACGGCCAGCGTGGCGATGCCCAGCATGGCAGCTCCCCCCACGCCCAGCACCAGCCGGGCGTTGGACAGCACGAAGTCGATGGCCGTGCCGATGCCGTTGTCATCCTTCCTCCCTCTGCGCGGCCCCGCGCCCGCCATCCCACCTGGAAAGAGCGGGAGCCTTCAGCAAACAGGTCAAAACACGCAGGCCTGCTCCTGCCCCCCACGGTCCAGGCTCCTGGGGTCTTGGCATGGGGACACAGGATGGGACAACCTAACCCTGCAGCCTCTTTCACTATCTCCCCTCTCAGTCCCAGGCATGTCAGAACGCCTGTACTGACCAAGTTCTGAAATGACAACATTTCTCTGCTTCCAGCTTCGTTTATGACCTGAGAAAAAACATCCCAGATTTGATACGGCCTCTAATCATGGAATTGTCAGAGTTTGAAGGGACCTCTAGAGATCATCCAACTCCCCTGCTAAAGCAGGATCCCTTAGAGTGCATTACTCAGGACTGCATCTTGGTGGGTTTGGAATATCTCCAGAAAAGGGGGCTCACCAACCTCCCTGGGCAGCCTGTTCCAGTGCTCTGTCACCCTCACTGTAAAGAAGTTCTTCCTCATATTTAAATGGAACTTCCAGTGTTCCAGCTTGTGCCTGTTGCCCCTCATCCTGTCACTGGGAACTACTGAAAAGAGTCTGGCTCCATCCTCCTTGCACCCACCCTTTAGATACTTGTAGGCATTAATAAGGTCTCCCCTCAGCCTTCTCCAGGGAAGAAGAGAGGCCCAGCTCTCTCAGCCTTTCCCCATAAGGGAGATGTTCCAATCCCCCAATCTTTGTTGCCCTCCACTGGACTCTCATTTAAGCAGGTTTAATTTGCAGTCATCTAATGTTTTTTTAAAAAAAAGAAAGTAAGATTTACTTCAACAATATTTTGCATTAAAACCAAATATATTATGTAAAACTCAATGACCACCCTTTTCAATTCGTGCTTCTCAACCAAAGTAGGGCTTTTAAAATGCCAATTAGTTTTCTTATTCTCAACCTAATGCATGTTATTTCACTCACAGACAAGGTGATGCAGGGATGCTCAACTGCTTGCCCAGAACAAATCAGAGTCTTCCCAAGATTTGACAGGCACTCTCATAGTATCCACTCCCCCAGATTCATTGTTGGACAATGGATGTCCTAGATACTTCAAAGACACCCAAGAATCAACCGTAGAGACCACAACACACCAGAAAGGGAACAGCTCCCTTGCTTTCACTGGACATTTATTCCTGCCCTCAAGGCTGGTGGGTTTGACTCTCCTACGAGTCATGTATGACATGAACATTAGTATTTCCTTACACATATACTTTTTCCTCCAATTCTCTTTTAACCTGATCTTGGTATTTACATTTAAACAGTCTCTCTAGCCAACTACATGTGTAAAACACACTTTGTCACCTCTGCACCCATAGATTGATCCTTAGTGAAACTCCATGAAAACACCAGGAAACTCTTCCTGCCTGAGTTGAGATCTGTTTCCTAAGTCAGTGTCTAAGCTTCAGAGTGGTTTAAAACTGCCCTTAGGTTTTCCTAATGCCAAGCTATTTTTTTTTGCTGCTGGTCTGATGAACCAGGAATCCATTCTTCATCCCTAGGCAAAAAAACCCCGCACTTTCACAAAGCAAACTGTACTAACAGCACCAAGAACGTGGTTACATCGTTGTGAATGACCTACCTGTGACCTAACGCATTTGTAAGGAGAACAGGAGAGACCTCCTGCCGTGCCCGTGGAAGCACCTTCCAGATTTCTTCAGGACAGTGCTGGGCAGGGAGCATCAATTATCTCTTTCGGTTGACGAGGAGATTTTGGAAAGACGAAGGAGCTGCCGGGAATCTCTACACCAGCCCCCCGAGATTGCTCTGCAGGAAAGCCCGCCCCTTCTCCAGCTGCCTCTCCTTGTCCTCGGGCCGCTGCAGCCCCTGGTTCCTGCGGAACTCGCGGCGGATGGCGGCGAGGTAGAACTCCCGGTCGGTGTAGCGCAGCCCGCGCCCGCGGCGCAGCAGGGCCCGGGAGAGGG